GTGCTAGTGTCTCTAGATGAGAAGGAAGCAATGAACACTTTGGGAGGCCAAGGTGGGTGGACCACCTGAGGTCAGGAGTTCAAGACCAGCCTGGCCATCATGGTGAAACTCCATCTTAAAAAAAAAAAAAGCAAACAGTAAAATACAGCAATTACTACAATAAAATAACTGTGTAATGTTAACAGGAACAGAGGTAACAGAATATAATGAAGGATAGATGGAAGAGGCATAATGAACATCACCAAAGCATATACTCACCAGATTCTGTAAAGTCAACACTTAAGAAAAAAATCTTAAATGCGCTAAAGGGCAGATCACACACAAACCCTACCAGGCTAGCAGAAAACTTCTTATCAGAAATCTTCAAGCTAGGAAAGATTGGGAACCTATTTTCAGCATTCCTAAAGTAAAACAATTCTAACCAAGAATTTCATATCCTTCCAAACTAACCTTCATAAGTAAAGGAGAAATAAAAACTTTTCCAGACAAGAAAGCACTAAAGCAATTTGTCACCACTAAACCAGACTTTTAGGATGTACTTAAGGGAGTTCTGACCATGCAAACAAAAGAATAATACCTGCTACCACAAAACACACTTAAGTACATAGCCTGAGACAAAGCAAAAACACGATAGGAACTACAAAGCAACCAGCAGACAGCTTTATGACAGAATCAAAACCTCAAATATTAATATTAACCTTGAACGTAAATGGTCTAAATAACTCACTTAAAAGGCACAGAGTGGCAAGTTGGATACAAAAACAAGATCCATTCTTCTGCAGTCTTCAAGAGATCCATTTCACACATAAAGATACATGCAGGCTCAAAATAAAGAGTTAGAGAAAGATCTACCACAAAAACAGAAAACAAAAAACAGTCAGAATTGCTATTCTTAGACAAAACAGACTTTAAAGCAACAACAGTAAACAAACAACATAAGATAATGATAAAAGGTACAATTCAACAGGAAGACTTAACTATCCTAAATGAATAGGCACCCGCCATTGTAGCACTCAGATTCATAAAACAAGTACTTCTAGACTTATAAAAAGACTTAGCCACACAATAGTAGTAGGAGACTTCAACACCCCACTGACAGCATTAGACAAATATCAAGGCAGAAAATAACAAAACGTCTCTGGGCTTAACCTCAGCACTTGACCAACACAGGGCATAATAGATATCTACAGAATACTCCATTGAGCAACCATAGGACATACATTCTTCTTATCTGCACACAGAACCTACTCCAAGATTGACCATATGTCCAGCAATAAAGCAAGTCTCAATAAATACAAAAAAGTCAAAATATCAACCGTACTCTCAGACCACAGTGGAATAAAAATAAAAGTCAATACCAAAGAGAGCTCTAAAAACAATACAATCACATATAAATTAAACAACTTGCTCTTCTGAGTGACTTTTGGGTAAACAACACAATCAAGGCAGAAACCGAGAAATTATTTGAAATAAACGAGAACAGAGACAAGATACAACATACTAAAAAATCTCTGGAATGGAGTAAAAGCAGAAGCAGTGTTCAGAAGAAAGTTTACAGCACTAAATGCCTACCTCAAAAAGTTAGAAAGATCTTAAATTAATCATCTAATATTATGCCTACAGGAACTAGAAAAACAATAACAACCTAACCATAAAGCTAGCGGAAGAAAATAAATAATCAGAGTGGAACTGAATGAAACTGAGATCCAAAACTCCATACAAAGAATAAACAAAACTAAAAGTTCTTTGAAAGGATAAACAAGCTCAATCAACACCTAGATTAACAAGGGAAAAAATAGAGAAGACTCAAATAAACACAATTAGAAACAACAAAGATGACGTTACAACTGACTCAAAGAAAAAAGATCCTCACAGACTATTAGGAACTCCTCTATGTACACAAACTAGAAAATCTATAGGTAACGAATATATTCCTGGAAATCTGTAGGTAATGAATATATTCCTGGAAACACACAATCTCCCAAGATGGAAACAGGAAGAAGTTGAAACACTGGGCAGACCATACACATTCTGAAATTAAATCAGCAATAAAACCCCTACCAATAATAAAAAAAAGTCAAAAACAACAGTTGTTGGTGAGGCCACAGAGAAAAGGACTGTTTACACACTCTTCGTGGGAATATTAATTAGTTCAGCCACTATGGAAAGCAGTTTGGAGATTTCGCAAAGAATTTAAAACTACCATTTGACCCAGAGATCCCATTTCTGGGTATACATCCCAAAGAAAACAAATCATCCTACCAAAAAGACGCATGCACTCGCATGTTCATCACAGCCCTCTTCACAATAGCAAGTCACAGAATTAGCCTAAATGCCCATCAGTGGTAGACTGCATGAAGAAAATGTGGTATACATATACCATGGAATACTACACAGCCATAAAAAAATTAAAAATCGTGTCTTTTGCAGCAACCTGGATGGAGCTGGAGGCCCTTATCCTAAGGCAATTAAAGCAGGAAGAGAAAACCAAATACTTCATGTTCTCACTTTTAAGTGGGAGCTAAACATTGGGTACTTGTGGACATAAAGATGGCAACAATTAACACTCCAGACTGCTAGAGGGAACATGGAGGAAAGGGAGAAAGGGTTGAAAAACTTTTGGATACCATTCTTAGTACCTGCATGATTATATCATTCATACCCCAAACCTCAGCATCACACAATATACCCACATAACAAACTTATACATGTATCCCCTGAATCTAAACTAAAAGTTGGAAAATTAAAGGTAAAAATAGAATAGAAAAGATATTCTTTTCTGTTCCAAAAAAAATGAAAAATAAATTACTGGCACATGGAAGAGCATTAACAGATCTTAGAAATATGTTGAGAAAACAAAATAAGCCAGAGAAGAAAGAAACGCATGCTGTAGTCCATTGAAGAGCAAGCAAAATTAATTTTTGATGATACAAATAAAAAGAATTGTTTTCTTCCGGTGTGCACTATTGATTGGGTAGGGACAGAAGGAAATTTACAGTGAAATGGGAATGTTTTATAGTTTGAGTAGTAGTTATGTGGTTGTTTACATAAATAAAAAATTATCAACCTGTACAATTAAGATTTGCGTATTTTACAGTATGTAAATTATACCTCCATAAAGAAAATACCACATTAAAACAAATAAAAAAAGGAAAATAAGAGAAAAAGGCAATGACAACTTAATTGCAAAAAAGTATTTCTGTTGCTTAATGCTCTCTTTCTCAACATATGTAATTAAGTATTTTACAAATTGTATAACCCTGGGACAGTCATGCCAAATCTACCTCTGAAGACTTTCACGGAGGACCATGTTGACTATTGAGAATAGTAAATATGGCAGTATGTTACCATATGCAGTGAAATGGTAATTACAGTATATTTCTGCTGAAATTTCCCATTTTAGACAGTGAATAATTAAATATCACCCTGAGAATCTGTTGCAATTTTAGTTCCTGTTTCCTTTTTTCACACGCCACTGATGACAGGTGATTTGTCCTTCTAGACCTTGTGTGACTTCATTGGTGATAGCAAGTAATCCTGTGCTACCAGAGGGAATTTAAACATATTTTCATTTATGACTGCAGTGATGCTCACCTACTCAGAAAGATGAGGAGCAACTGGTTGGCAGGAAAGTAGCTAACAGGATCTATAAGCAAGTAAATTTGGTCTTTGTGGTCTCCTTTTCCTGAGTCTGTTTTGGGATGGATGCATGTCCAACCAAATTTGATGTTCATCATAACAGACTGTGTCATCATGTTCCATAGAATGAATAAGACTATGTTCAAGAATTCTAAATAGTTACACCAGCAAATTCTAATGCATATTTGGGGCATTTTAATTATCTTAATGTCTGAGATTTATCAGCCAGATTGCCATAGGGGAAAACTATGGCTCTTACTCCTCCAGGGTTTGGAAATTTCTGTCTTCGTTGAAAATAACTGGCCTTAACAATTTCCTATTGATTTGACATAAGTCATCCATTATTGGCTTTTTATAGGTCTAGCTTTTCCCTTTTTCTTTCCATTAGCCTAGGAGAAAGGTCTTGGTTCGTTGGAAGAAAAGAGAAACATATAATCACAGTAATTATATTTCCTGTGAGCTGCTTCTTGGTGAGTACTTGACCATGGGGATGAGATGATTTGCAATCTAATGGGTTAAATATTTAAACCAAAGGCTGGTCTAAGAGGGAAGTTGAAGCAGTGGGTCTGGCCAAATCAAACAAGTCAATCAAATACAATTTGATTATGGTATCTTATTCACTAGAGCACTAATTTCCAGCATATGACCAGACTCTTTCCCAAAGATTGTATATCAGTTCATCTGGTTTCTAGCTAGGTTTTGGCTTTTTAAAACAATTAATGGTCATTTAGTGATTGCAGCGGGCATCCAGGCACAATTCTAATTCCACCACAATCTTCCAAGGTAATAATAATATGCCCAAAATAAGGAGTATTGAAGAGAAATTTATGACTAACAGCAGAAGAAAACACTTCCATTCTCTTAGGTTGGTAGAATGAGAGGAATACCTATTTATATGCCTATCCATTGAGTCTGAACAACAAGGTTATGTAACCATTTTTCCCCATCTTTAGACATGGTTTTTGTTAAATTCATGGACTGGGTAGTTATGAGATGCTATGATAGTGAGCTTTAAGACTCACTCTAGGGTCTTGAGTAAAGACAGCTTCCCAGTTGTCTTTCTGTGGACCCCATGAAGCTCATTTCAAGCTAAATGAACTTCAGGAAAATAATTGGGTTGGAGCATGGTAATAGGAACGCAGCTTTTTCATGTTTCCTATTTTCAGAGGGCTAAAGTCAATGCATAGGGGGGCTTTATGGAACACATGTCATATCTGAAGTGTCGAAATTAAAACTGTGACCCCATGAAAGAATGTTATCTGGGGGGCGACAGCCTTCATTGTTATCTGTCTGAGAAAAATAATGATTTTTATTTTGCATTGTTCACCTTATGGAGTATTATTCAAAAATGTGATTGTCAGATGCCCGATTCCGCGCCCGCCATGGCCGACAAAATGGACGTGTCTCTGGACGACATCATTAAACTGAACCGGAGCCAGCGAGGAGGCCGCGGCGGGGTCTGCTCCCAGGGCGGCCGCGGCGGAGGGGCGCAGGCCGCCGCGCGAGTGAATCGAGGCGACGGGCCCATCCGGAACCGGCCGGCCATCGCCCGCGGCGCGGCCGGCGGAGGCGGCAGGAACCGACCGGCGCCCTGCAGCTGGCCAAAACAGCTTCCCGACAAGTGGCAGCACGATCTTTTCGACGGTGGCTTTGCGGGTGGTGGTCGCGTGGAGTCGGGTGGGAAACTGCTGGTGTCCAATCTGGATTTTGGAGTGTCAGACACCGATATTCAGGAACTCTTGGCTGACTTTGGAACACTGAAGAAGGCAGCTGTGCACTACGACCGCCCTGGCCGCAGCTTAGGACCAGCAGATGTACACTTTGAGCGGAAGGCAGACGCCCTGAGAGCCATGAAGCAGTATAACGGTGTCCCTCTGGATGGCCGCCCCATGAACAGTCAGCTTGTCACATCACAGATCAATACACAGCGGAGACCTGCACAGAGCGTAAACAGAGGCGGCATGACTAGAAATCGTGGCGCTGGAGGCTTTGGTGGTGGCGGAGGCACCCGGAGAGGCACCCGTGGAGGCGCCCGGGGAAGAGGCAGAGGCGCCGGCAGGAATTCAAAGCAGCAGCTTTCGGCAGAGGAGCTGGACGCCCAGCTGGACGCCTATAATGCGAGAATGGACACCAGTTAAACAGACCGGCAAATCCGTGTGGACAGGACCCAAGCGTCTCCTCTTGCTCCCTGGTTGGGGAGCGGTGGCTGGGGCTGCGCGGCCAATAATGGATTTGTTTCTTTTATGTTTTAAAATAGGATTTAAAAACTCCTGTAAAGGCTTTTTTCTTTCTTTCTTTTTTTTTTTTTTANTTTTTTTTTTTTTTAATTTCTGAAATAGACCTGTTTTGTGCCGAGTTATTTTTGGGATAAATTTTACTGGTTGCTGTTGTGGAAAAGGTGGCATTTCCCCCTTTTCCATAATAAAATAGAAATGTGTGTAGAAACAAACAAACAAACAAACAAAGTTATTGTCTAGAAAACTTAAATTGCACATAAAAATTTTTCTCCAAAACAAACCAAAAAATAAACCTTAAGTGTTTATAATTTAATAATGCAAAATGTTCACAATAATTTAAAATAAAATGTTCTGAAAATAGTAAATGATTTCTCATTCAGAATAGCAACTGTAAACAGTGCTTAAAAAAAAATGGCCAATTAAATTATTTGGTCTTCAGTGATATTTTTTACCTAGAAGATCAAAAAGGGTTGATGACAGATACAGACATGGAGATAAAGATGGAGATGAGAGCTGGGACAGCAGTCCAGGAATTTATCCTGGAGGGGTTTCCTGCCATCCAGGCCCTGGGGTGTGTCCTCTTCCAGTGCACCTGCTGGCATTCCTTGCCTCCATCATGGGAAACACATTCATAATCACCATCACTTGGCTGATCATCACCTCCAGACACCTATGTATATTTTACTCAGCAGTTTATCCTTCTGTGAATGCTGTTTTATGGCTGCAATTATTCCTCAGCTGCTGGTCATCTTTCTTTTAGGCAGGCAAACTGTTTCCTTTGCTGCCTGTTTCCTACAAGCCTTTACCATTGTGTTTCTGGAAGCCACAGCCTTCCTCCTCATAGCTGTGATGTCCTGGCTATTTGCAAGCCCCTGCATGACCCCACCATCATGAGGCTGAGGACTTGCTTCCTCCTGGTCACTGCCTGCTCTGCCGTGGGCTTCACTCTCCTGACTGGTCTGGTGGTGAAGGTTTCCCAGTTGTCTTTCTGTGGACCCCATATCATCCCTCACTTCTTCTGTGACCTCAGCCCTTAGAAAGAATTCTAGACTTTCAAAGAGTATTGAGTGATTTAGATTGTTATATCTGAGAAGGCTTGACTATAAACTACCCTAGAGGTTATGACATACATAAGTATGTCTGTGTCTCTCATGTTTCCAAAAAAGAAGTTAGATAATTTTAAAACCTCCTAAAGACAGGGAATTCCTGAGAGTGCTGACAATGGGAGCCTTCATCTCTGGATGTCAGAACTCTGAACCATATTCTAGGTAAACCCACAATCCAGCTGGAAGAAGTGACCATAAGAACCCATAAGGGAAGAAGACTCAGCTGTTTTAGCAAGATGGAATTCTGAGCCTAAGCCATAGCCAGTAACCCAGTGAACAAAGTGTGGCTCCCAGAGAGTGGGCTTCCTTAATTTGTACTGAAAACAAGAAGAGAAATTCTTAAAAAAAAAAAAACCAACTGTTTATTTTGGGATAATTGTAGATTCACATGCAGTCTTAAGAAATAATAGAGAGAAATCCATGTCCCATTTACCCAGTTTCCCACAGTGGTAACATCTTGTAAAATATAATATAATATTACAGCCAGGATGTTGACATCGAGAAGATCATGATACAAAACATTCCCGTCACCACAAAGTTCCCTATTGTTGATCTTTTATATCCACATCCAGTTCCCTTTTGCTGCAACTGCTAATCTGTTCTCCATTTCTAGAATTTTCCATTTTAAGAAATATATGTATATGTGTGGGGATGTGTGTGTGTGTGTGTGTGTGTGTATATATATATATATATAAAATTATATAATATGTAACCATTCAGGTTGGCTTTTTTCAGATAACATAATTCTTTTTTTTTCTTTAAATAACAGGGTTTATTTATATCATTGGTATTTATTTCCATTGACATCATTTTCAAGAAAGCACTATGAAATTCTTCAAGCCCATGTACTTTTCAGATATCTCTTTCTCTCTTTCTCTTTATCTCTCCTTCTCTCTCCCTCCCTGTATTTTTGTAAAAGCTTTTCTAAAATTTCTTTAACAAATTGGTACCCAATTCAGAATAATGGATCCGTTTTTGTTTCTTCTTTAACTTTGTTACTTTATGTCATGTAATTTTTGAATACTGAATATCTTTTCTATATGTAATCATGCTTTACATTCTCTTTAACCACTATAAAACAATTAGAGAATCTAAAATTATGTTTCTATCCCCTAAACTTTCAAAGTTCACAGCATATGTAATTTTCTGAATGCCATCTGTTGGTGTTTATTAAGCAAGTTGTTAATGTTATGTAGCAAACATGTAGCAGAAATGTCACTAACATTTTAAATTGTGCTCTAAAACATGTGTAGATATTATAAACTAGTGATGACTTCTCTCTCATTACTGTCCTCACTTATTTGTGATACTGCAGAGTCTTAATGTGACTCTTCTGCTCTCAGTTCCTGCCATTTATTTCTGGTATGATCATCTTGATTGACAATTATTAGTATGATTGGGTCATTATCGTTACCTGTTACTAGCACAGTTCCAGGAATGTACTGTTCACTTTTAAAATGTTAATTTCTTTCTTTTGTCATTTTATAAAAATATATCTATAGTATATTTCCATATATATTCAAATGCTTATACATAAAGATGTATTCAAAAGGCTCGGCTGGGCACAGTGGCTTACACCTGTAATCCCAGCACTTTAGGAGGCCAAAGCGGGTGGATCACCTGTGGTCAGGAGTTCAAGACCAGCCTGGCCAGCACAGTGAAACCCCATCTCTACTAAAGGTACAAAAATTAGCTGGGCATGGTGGCATGTGCCTGTGGTCCCAGCTACTTGGGAGGCTGAGGCAGGAGAATCGCTTGAACCCAGATGCAGAGGTTTCAGTGAGCCAAAATCGCACCACAGCACTCCAGCCTGGGAGACAGAGGGAGACTCCATCAGGACAGCAGAACCGCATTGCAGTGGGCATGCTCCACTGGACATACAGAAATTGTTGAATTTTTGTTGCAGCTTGGAGTGCCAGCGATTGATAAAGACGATGCAGATTGGTTTCCTCTTCATATTGCGGCTTCTGCTGGCCGAGATGAGATTGTAAAAGCCCTTCTGGGAAAATGTGCTCAAGTGAAATGTTGTCAATCAAAATGTCTGTGCTCCGGCCTGGCGCGGTGGCTCCCGCCTGTAATCCCAGCACCTTGGGAGGCCGAGGCGGGCGGATCACAGGGTCAGAAGGAGACCAGCCTGCCCAACATGGTGAAACTCTGTCTCTACGAAAAATACAAAAATTAGCGGGGCGTGGTGGTGGGCGCCTGTAATCCTAGCCACTTGGGAGGCTGAGGCAGGAGAATCACTTGAAAACGGAAGGCAGAGATTGCAGTGAGCCGAGTTCGCGCCACTGCATTCCAGCCTGGTGACAGAGCAAGACTGCATCTCCGAAACAAAACAAAATGGCTGTTCTCCCCTACATTATGCAGCTTCCAAAAACATGCGTGACATTGCTGTCATGTTACTAGAAGGCAGGGCTAAGCACCATTTTGAGGCTACAGCAGTGCACCGAGCAGTAGCCAAGGGGTTTGAGGAGTATCGAGGTTGGTGACACCTCTACATGCCAGAAGAATGGTGCACCCAACTCCATGGGAACAGAAGCTCCTGTCCAGACAACATAATTCTTTAGCGATTCTTCCAAGTCGTTGTGAAACTACCTTTGCAAACATAACCGTGAAAAAAATTATAACAGTGAGTAAGCTAACCCACCTTTCATCCTGCCTTTCCCTTAATTTTTCCTGGGCTTTGGGGCCAAGCTAACTTTGGAAGACATTTATAGTTTAAGTAATAATAACCCTTCCCCCAAACTCAACCATCTCTGTAAAGGTAATGAAAAGTCATCAGGCGACGGGGTGGAGAGGAGCCTGATTTTGCTAAGGTACAGACATAAATTGCCAGACTTTCCTTCAGATTACACCATTGTTGTAGATTGGCCTTTCAAGATATAGGTTCAGGTTTTTTTTTTTTTTTTTTTTTTTTTTTTTTTTTTTTTTTTTTTTTTTTTTTTTTTTTTTTTTTACATGTCTGAAACTCATAGTTTCACCTGGGCCCCATTACTCCATCTGGACCCACCAAGCTTGCACCTGTGGCCCCACCTAGAAGCGATTTAGCATACAGGAGAACAGCTTTGATCCCCTATGACTTCATCTCTGCCGCAACCAATCAGCAGCAAGCTTAGCCACTGCCAACTCTTCCCCAAAAATGGTTTTGCAAACCCCTAACCTAGAAGTTTTGGATGAGACTGATTTGCATACTAACTCCAACTTACACATTGCGTGGGTTGCCTCATGTTTATTAAACTATCTCTTTACTACAGTGCTGTGGTCTTTATTTGCACACTAGGCAATAACCAAATAAAAAAAAAAAACCAACACTCTTTGGCTGTTACAGCTGCATGTGTCAATAGTTCACTCCTTTTTAATAGCTGAATATTATTCCATTGTATGTATGGACCATATTTTGTTTAATAATTTACCTGTTGAAGACATATGGGCTATTTCCTGTAGTTAGCTATTACAAATAAATCTCAGCATTTACATACAGGTCTTTGTATGAACATAAGATTTTGTTTCTCTTGGATAAATGCCTAAGAACACAATTGCTAGGTTGTATGGTAGTTGCATGTTTAATTTTATTAAAAAATGACAAATTGTCCTCCAAAGTGGCTGCAACATTTCACATTCCCACCAGCAATGCATGAGTGATTCAGTTTCTTCACATTCTCGGTAGCATTTGGCATTACTATTCTTGTTTTGTTACAATTAAAAAGTTAAACATTCATGTGATTTAAAAAAACTATCTATGGGAGAGGAAAAACAAATGGCAGATAGGAAGCAGGACTAAGTTGCAGCTCCTACTCGGATGGACAGAGCAGCACATGGAGACTCACATCGTGAGCTTTTCCTCCAAGAACTACTACAGGAACATACCAGGAATGTCAAGAGAATCCATGGACTCGTTTAAGGAAGTGGTTACCCTTGCAGGCCCTGTGAGACAGCCAAAACTGTGCGGACCCAAAGTATGAGGGGGAATGTTTGCACCCAAACACACATCCTCACTGGATAACCTGAAGATCCAGTTCAGATAAAGATTTAACCTTACCTGAAGCTGAGACAAATTTAGAGAGCTGAGTGAAATATAGGGGTAGAGGAAGCAGCAGGAAGA